GTAATGGAATTCTAGTGGATACTGGAAGGTCCGGTCTTATCAATGTTTGTGTTGTAAGGCTCTCATAATAAGGCAGAATTCCCCAAATAAAACCCGGGAATATATAAATATTCTCTCCGCAAAGTAGGCGCGGATAGATAATAAGGCAGAATTCCGCAAATAAAACCCGGGAATATATAACTATTCTCTCTGAAAAGTAAGTGCGGATAGTTTAGAGGCTGTATTTCAGAATTGGTAATTGAAAAGTAAAATAACAACTGTAGTTTCTGATAACACAGCAAGTATTAGAATCTGCTAATGTATAGATTCAAATACCCCGTTTTCTTGGGTTTTTTCGGCTTGTACGTGATAAACGAAATTCGACCTTTGAATTTTACATGAAACTCATCGACGGAAATTTACTCACTCGTTATAAAATAGTTAAAAAATTTGGAGTTTTTATAATCAAGATAACCACTTATTAGCTGCAAACGTGTTGCAGAGTTAGCATCTTGTGCTGAAACTATTTTCACATGTAACATCCGAAAAATTTGCGTAAATCTATCTCTTGTAAATGTATCGGAATAAAATGGAATGTGGCTTGCCTGGTGCCTTGACCAATATTCTTGCATATTGGCCACTGGCGTCGTCCCCATATTTATAATAACTGCGATGAATGTCCAAAATTCTTCTTTCGTGATTGTTTGTTCCCTCATTTCTGCTAGGATAATAGAGGTGGTTGAGTTAGTAAACACTGAGGTTAACTGGTTAGAATATATAGCGGCACATGATTTAGAGAACAATTCAAATCATGTTGTTGTTTTGCTTCGGAGTATCGAGACCATTAGGTTCCAAGTAACGTAAGAGCAAATAAACTCCGGGCAAAACAATGTCGCCGCTTCGTGGAACCGTCAAACGTAGACGAATTCGAATTTTCTGGTTCTGCCCCGACCAGTATTGTTGAGAATTGTGGATATTTGAAGCCGAAATAATGTTATAGGAACACTAAATTTACACTGAGGATTCATATTAAAATAGTAATATATTTATTTCATGGACGATTTCTTATATATTCATCGATACACACTTGCGCGCGTCTCAGCACTTTCTTCCATACCCGACTGTTAACCGACTGACCAGTTTACACTCATCTGTTTTCGAGACGCCGCGCACACATACACCTCCACACACCGACACTCACATACAAGCATCTCTACTACGCATTTAACCCAGTCTAGCACAGAAAATTATACATATCTCAACAAGTATAAATAAACGGACGCGATCGCAAGGAAATGAGTTACAGTCAGTTGTCGATCAGTTATTAGCCAGTTATCAACGAATTATCAGCGATCTAATTAACGAATCATTAGCGATCCATTGGCGGACCAACAGCCCTCTACACATAAACCTCTACCAATTGGTAACCCCGACGCGAGTTGAACATGAGAAAACAACCTCCACATTGGTGACCCCGACATGATAGAAAACATTAAGATGGCGACTAGGAAAGACGATGTTAAGGCTACGGGTAGTGTCGCGGTTACAATGCCACCGCTGCAACCCTCCAACATTACTGTTTGGTTTGCATTGTTGGAAATGCTACTACATCTACTCCCAATTTTGTATCATTATAAAATCTAATCGTTTCCGGTATACGTTTATTGCTTTTTTTCAATTTCTATCGCTTTATGCATGAAACTTAGCACAAACACTTTTTTTGTAGGTTTGCGTTTATACACCGTAAAAGAAATTTGATTCGAAATATAAAATTTGCTTGAAAACAGAGTCATTTTGTCCTTTCGATCTTTTACTATCTTTGGCAATTCCCGTTTATTTTCACGGATTGTTCCAATGGTTGTAGTTCTTTTGCGAGTAGCTTTGTAGCCAGTGATGCACTCGTAAAAAAATTATCTGTTGTTAGGTTCCTTCCACATCCTGTGAATGGTTCCATCAGCTTCAGAGAAACGAATTCTCCAAGTGGAATTGAATTGTCTCTCTTCTCATTCTTTCCCAAATAAGGAAATCCATTTATTGTATACTTGCTGTTAACATCACACGACAACCAGAATTTTATGCCGAATTTGTCTGGTTTGTTCGACATATACTGGGTAAATCTACACCTAGTCTTCGACGGAAACAACTGCTCATCAACAGTAATATTGGCTCGTAAACGCTGGCTGCTTTCGCTCTTCTTATGAAATCCTATAAACTTCATAATTTCAGTAAAATCATGCTCATTGTTTTTGAAAAAACTGCAAGTCCCCAAATTTTACTCCACAAATATGAGACATCTAAGTTCTTTGCCTGATATGCATGCGGGCGTATATCAGAGCAATAAATGTATGTAGTTTTGTTGTATCTAGCTCCCACTTAGTCCCCAATACTCTAAATGCTGTCTTTACTTGTTCTTTCACTATCTGTCGTTTAGCATATCCTGTCGGACCTGACACACCCCTAAAAATATTACGAACTGGTGTCCTGCCAGGTTTGGAAATTGCATCTAATTCTTTCCGAACTGTTCCATCAATCTTAGCTTTTTTTCTGAGTAATGTCGGACTCCTACCGACTAAATCTCCACGATAACCATCCTACGCGTGTGACGGTGGTGCTCCAGGAACCTCTTATGAATTCTGTTGCACCCTCTTGTCGCGTACTCTTGTTCGAGCCAGTCCTAGTATCTCCTGACTATTGAATTGGCGTTAGGGAGGTCATTGCCCCTAGCGCTGTAGCTCCTTCCAGGCGTGGTCCGTTGGGACGGCGGTGGGGCGGCTCTAGATCATCTGACTGCCATCCCTCTCAATCGTCTTATCCTGCGAGGGTGACAATTTTTCTTTCTCTCCCTTTCCGCTCGCTCCCGCGCGAGCATAACTCGCTCGCAGAAGAGGCGGACGGCCTCGTATTCCTGTGGCCCTCTCAGCATCGCCTCTACAAACGCAGGGGGGTCACAGTTCCTCCTTTGGCGTGTCGCAGGGTGTAACGGGGCAGCTCCCACGCCGGGCAGAGCTCCAGGGTGTGCTGCGCCGTGTCCCTGTCCTCTCCGCAGTGGTGACAGATGTCTGTCGTCTCTCGTCTGATTCTCTTCAGGAACTCGCCG